TAGACTCAGCATGTTCAAAACATATGTCAAGGCACGTTGTTAGGGGATAAACGAGGACAAGCAAAGGTGGACAAATGGACAAATTCGTGCCTGCCAACTATTTGAATGTACCATAAAAGTTCTTTTGATAAAAACCATCCCATCCGAATATCGAAATTCATTCCACATATTGAAATTGTATATAATCAATACAGACAAGACATGATTGTCAAAAACATACATCAGTGGTAATATATTAAGACTTAGCTCATAACTCATAACGTCAAAAGACATAGTATACAATCAAATTCCGAAATCACATTTTATTATCATCCACAAACCAACGCCCAGTCTCCATAGCTTATAACTATCACATAGAGCCCTCTATAATAATTGCCAAATCACACAGCCGTGTAGGAATTTGAACCCGCCCCGTGAGATCATTTGTCATGTATCGTATTCTTCTCGCCTTCGCCGTTCAACATTCATTAAAGCTCGATCTATCAGCGTCCAATCTACAATGTGATAATATCAACAACTATAAACCTGATTGCTTCACCTGCCAGCGTTTGATCGTGGTTGAAAGTAGCTGATTGAAAATGTTGCTTTGGGAACCTGTTGTTGCTGACCAGTTTTCGGTTTACAATGTTGCAAGACCTTCGCTAGGTTGAGAAGTTGTTACGTTAGTGGGATATCTGAGTGTTAGAGCTATTCCCAAAATTATCTTTCTCTTTCAATATCCTCTCCCCGAATATCGACTTCTTCACCAAAGGAAAACTTTGTCAACGACGTCAGATCCTCTTTACTAAACCGAAGAAGATTTCAACATTAATTTGGAAGTAGATAAAGTTGTATGGCGTGGACGAGGAGAAGTGGAAAATATTTTTAGTCATTACGCCTAGCCGTCCTTGATCATAGTATTTTAACAGACGATGGCGTCCGAAGAACCATAAAGAATCATAAAGCTGTCTTCTCGGTAATTTGATCTTAGTTAGAAACAAAACTGGCATCTCATTTATTCAAGACTCTTCCTTGTCTCATCTTCACCTCAATGAATTCAGATAGTGAACTTTTGAGATTTGTTGATGAACTCAAACTCGATTATTTTATGAATTGGAAAATGGTGCCTAATTAAATCAGAACTACACTATACTGTAGAGGGAACATTTCAAAATACCTTTAGCAGCTTCTTATATTGAACTTTGTTCTAAATTGAGTCCAAGAAACTCAGAAACCTTGTGTGTTGAGTCCTAATACTCGAAGTAGAAATCACAAATAGGATGGAGTATCAAATAGATTTGCATGCAATGGTGCTGTCAAGTGTCACTCGAAGTCCTCAGCTGTTAATGAGCGATGTCTTTGAATGGCGATTGTAGCTGTGAGAGTCCTCGTGTGAATGGTGTTACTTAACATTGTGGAAGCGTGGTACTTGCTCAGCCCTCGTGGTGTAACAGGGAAAGTGCTGCAGAGGTAATCATCAATAGTTTATTGATTACCACATGCTCTTCACTGACGGATTTGTTTCAAATTGGGTCTGATTTGAGTACTTTATGATTTTGCGGTTTTCACGTTTTGTCTCTGCTTCTGGCTATTGAATGGATTTGAAGACGAGTTGCAACGGTTGAGTTTGTACTATTTATACGAGTTTCGAGGTTGTTGTATTTGTGTATAGGGAAGGATTAAAACTGTGTAAATATTCAGTGCTAAAGACATTGAGTAAGTTGATTTCAATAATTCGAGATCATGAACTGGCCGTAACAATAAAACTGAGATGAGCATTACGAAAACACACAATGGTTGTAGCGTTGCAATGGATTGTATCCTCTGCCTTAACAGTGTTCTCTGCATTTCGCAAAGGGAGATTCTCATCTATATCTAGACAGTTCTCACCTTAAAATATGTCTATATTTTTTACTTGATATCTCCATTCATACTTGGCTTAAAATCCCTACATTTGTATGGTCGCCATTTTAAAGTAAGGTATTTAAGTAAAGTAAAGTAAGTATAGACTTTATATGTCTACCTAAAGCTTAAGGTGGGCTTTGGGCTTAACAGTTACGTAGGTTACTACGTTATCATTTAGCAAATTGTTCTTGGTGGTTGTCAGCGGAGAATTCATTGGGTGATTGATTTTGGATTTAAAACATTTTATCCTATGATTTGTTACAATATCAAATACATAACCATATAAACCGCATCTGTCAATACGAAGCAACCACAGCTCAAGCCCAATCACACAATTCATTGACTCATCTCATACCCTTACTATTTCCCATCTTCACTCAACTATTCCAAGAATGCAGTCTCCAGGTCCTAGTTGCTAGTTAAGAGTATTTTACAGCCTACCGTGACTCTTCTGGGCATTAACTTTCTTTGTAATTTACCAAAAGATCAACTCATCAGACCATTCTTGCCGGTCAAACTAACCCTAGACTATTCTAGCTTTCTCTTTTATTAACTGGAAACGAAACTCGCTTCAAGTAGCACGGCCATGAATTATGTAGGGGAAGATTACCAGGGGGGGGGGTTGGTCATACCGTGACAAATTGAACGCGGTGCGATGGCTTTTGAACCTGTTACAAGCTTCATGTACTGAAGTGGCTATAAACTATACAGTTAAAGTGATAACTACCAATTACTTCTTTGGGTTGTTTTCCTCTTGGTAAACTTCTTCAGGTTTGCGATTGTAAAATTTTGAGAAATTACAAGCGGGACCAAATGTAAAAAGGTTACACTTTATGCAATGGTATGAACAATTTATATTGGATTTTTTGCAAACTAAATATTCCTAGCAATATTTTATACGAAATAAACAGATCTGGAAGATCATAAGTATTCATATGTAGGGACTATGTTTTACTAGGTTAGGCGTTTTTATTACTTACATAATCAATAGCTATTCGTGTATTAGAACTTCTCGAGCGGCAATGCCTGTTTGTGCTCGTAATACACTCAAGATCTTTCCTACCACCATAATTAACCTATCATTCACTTTTTTTAGTTGTATATAAAATGTCATTTAGGATGTTTGCCTTTTTAGGTTATGTTATTTGCTTTGTTAATCGGTTGTTAACGTCCCTGATCCGTGGCTGTGATTGGTGTATGGGAATGATGTATTCCCGCTCTAGAGCGTAAATATTCTATTTCGTGTACTGCTTACAGCTGTGGCAATGTGATCATTCCTATGCAGTGGTAGGAAAAGAACTTGAAGTTGTTTGGTAGATTTTAATGATTTGCATGTTAGTCAATATAGTTTAACGTTACGTTTCAGAAAAAAGAACTGACGTTGGGCTCTAAGATGGCCAATGAGTATCTCATGGGTAAGATACAAGTAGGTACTGGAACGTCGATTCATTATTTGACTTTTAGTCTTTACCTGACCAATTTGAAAAAAAAAACATTTCCGATTATTTTTATTAAATATACGCTATTAAGCATTTTGAGGCAGAAGGTAGTCAGATTTTGACTTTTCCATTAACATTTTTCAAACGTGATTACATGGGAAACAACAGTATTATCTGAAGAATGACAATGGTAGAGAGTAACAGTTAATACTTCTTGTGTAGCGGCTTAGCAAAACCAGTCCTCTCACCTTGGCCACACCTTCCTACATTCAACATTCCGTTGTACCCCTGGTTCTGGCTACACTTCCTAGGTGATACGACTACCAACTACTCAACTACTCTCGTCTGTACATTACTACCCACCCTGTGCACTGTCACACTACTCTCCTTGTAAATTACTACTCACCATGCACACTGTCAAACTGCCACACTACTCTTCTACTCGCCCATGCTGGCACCTGGCTACACTTCGTAGGTGATACGACTACCAACTACTCAACTACTCTCGTCTGTACATTACTAGCCACCCTGTATACTGTCACACTACCCTTCTACTCGCCTATGCTGGCTGACACCAAGCTTGAGATTATTTACTAACCCTAAGTCAGATAACGAAAAGAGTAACTTAACGTGAGGAACGGAGACTACATAGGTACCTAAGGGTGAATTATCTTGTCCTCACTATAGGACCTCACTGTAGGGGATGGAATAAAACTAAGATAGGCCTACAGCTTCGTTAAAAAAAATTCTTCGTCCATTTCGTTGAACTCAAATTTATATTGATTGATATTGCCTTCTTCGAAATTTCGAATCATTTTGTTTTTAATTAGGATTCCTGTTTTGTTAAATGATAAACATCCAAATGTTGTACAGCACAGCCTCGGTTGTAGAGCAGAGGGTCCTACGGCAATCCTTTTTTTGCAAAGAGTACACGAGTATATAAATTTTATTTCCCTATAGAAACTAACTGCGATTAAGTATTCAATACAACAAACTTTTGAATGTTTAATTAAAGCATTGGATTTACATTTACGTTTTATAGTTTGACATATACACGATAAACTGTCAAGACTATATTATTTGTTCGGGAAGGATTCTAGAAGGAACGGAAATATATGAGTTATATAACCATAATTAGTCATCGTAGGAATCCCTATTCTAAATATAATCGCCTCGAATTAGTCTAAAGTAGGTCGTAGTTCTAGATTATTCTTAGCATGAAGCCTGAATAACATAGAGAAAAGTTGACCTCAATCAGACTACCAGTGTATAATTAGTTCCTTAGTTACGTTGAATCATTTGTTGTAAATAACAAAATCTTTTCTCACTGTAAAATAGTATAACTCATCCACAACTAGGACTAAAAATGTGTACTTCATTAAAAGGGTCTTGTTGTATCTGATGATTACATGACGAAAGATTTGGTAAAGATTTTTAGGTTAGCTTATTTAAATAATTATTTGTAACCATTAGAGGATTACGAATGTTTCTTGAAATCGAAGTTACGTTGTCATTACATCATGAAACAATAATCATTCTACTAACTGCTTACAAAGATTTACTAACCTTTTTAAGTTTACTTGTCCTTTGTCTATGCAAGAGTAGATGTTGTAGTGTTTGTCCTGTCTCCTGGAAGACTTGTACGTTTACTGACCTCCACTTCCTCGCTTGTTCCAGGACGGGGATGCTGTGTCGCCCCCTGACGGCTGCGGCCGTCCTATGTCTTCACCTGGCCCTCGGCGTTCTAGCTCAGGTACGTCAACAGAAGTTCAAAGTACTCATTTGCCTCATTTGAGATTTGGAAGGTTTGTTAAAAGCCTTGTTAAGCCTCGGCACTTATCGTAACAGTTTATGATGTCCTAATCAGATACTCTTATGAACAATGTTTGCTTGTATGTTGTATGCTTGCTTGCACAAATATCACGAAAATGGCTTTGACGATTTTCTTCAAATGCTGTTAATAGTTGATTTATACCCTAAAAACGTGCTTAGTGCAGTTAAAACTGCCAACAAACATATAATTACGTACAAAAATTTAATTGATAGTCACAAATTTTTAACAGTGTGCTTTATGGGTTACTTTGGCAACAAAATAACAACGAAAATTATGAAAATCAACAAAAGAAATAAGTGTAACAGCTGATTATAAACAAACCTTAAACCAAAGAGACAGTAAGATGCTATGCTATCCTTACAACTTGAGTAAGCATGTAATATTAAACTGGCGGCACCGTTGATTTTATTGGATTAAATTTCGGTTTTGAACTAAATGATATACCCCTCCCTAGGTACTGATCTACTAAAAGGAATATTTTTAAAGAGATACACTCAGCTTCAATTCAATAAACCTTTCCAATTCTTAAGTCCAATATGGACTTTAGGTGTTTAAAATCAATCATTGTACTCTACCAATGAACAAAAACTAAGATGGATGGTTTAAAAACTAAGATGGTGTATGTTCACAATAAGATAGACTTATTAAACACATTATATGATGTAATTTATTATTGGAGGAACTGAATTTTTGAAAGGGTAAATTTTGCCCCTAACACATATAAAATAGTCTACATCCTAGTAAATAGTTCCCCCTATTTTTAACGTTTTGTTGTTGATTAATAAATTTTAAATACATATTCATCTTGACAAAAAGCATACCTTGCGGTTAAACACGTTTCCTTGAAGTCTAAACCTACACATATTAAAATCACTTTCTAATGCACTTGATTGTTCTAAATAAACAAAATAAGGGATTAGTAAGAAAAAATGTGATATTTACTCATGATAGCACTTTTATTTTCTGGATATGAAAGACATTGCTTTTTATTAGCATTTTTCCGTAAGTAACAACATCTTTCCACACACATGTTCGTCCAACATAACCCACATAATCAAAAACAACATTTTACATACTTCCTCTTAAAATTCCAATAATGATATTTTGACATTTATATCTTCTATGGAGCCGTTAGTTCTGGAGTGGGGTGTTAGTAATTCACGCGTGGCCTCTAAACTTCCACACAAACGATGAATTACCAAAGTGGGCTGGCGCGTGTTCTGGGCTGTATGAGGCCCAACCCATTGTTGTGACCATTGCTGCAATCTCAACTCAATCATAACTCATTGTTGTTGTGTTGTGAGAGTTGCAACAATTGTAAGTCTAACCTCTCACCCTACTGACATCTTGACCGCCAGGTGATTTAATTTCTCTTCCTCATTGCTTTTTGGAGTAATCGGGGAGAGAGTAATAAAATATGCTTAAGTATGGGTTGTGAGTGGGTATTTTTAGTTTTGTAAAACGTAATTTCAGTGGTGAATAAATAGAGGACTAGTAAATTTAATAAAATTAATTTTTCATCGTTGTCTCGAATTTTAGGTAATGCAGCGTAACCTTTCTCGTTACTACATAAAAGCTTATTTTCAACTAAAGAGTAAAGCTACTGGAATAATTTCAATACAAACCCTTCTGGTGTCTTGTTAATGCTTAAAAAAAGTACTTCGAAACACAAAACACGAAAAAAAACTGTAACAAGATCAATAATTAAGTAGTTTTATTTCACATTGTTTAGCAACAACACTTTAGTACTCATTACTGAAGAAGGGGTCAAGATTTTTGTTGGTACCAAATTGTAAGAAAATATAAAATACAAATAAGAAGCCTTTACTTGCATTTCAAAGGTGACCTGAATAATATAAGCTGAGTATAATAAATGAGAAGAGTCTTATATTTCGTTTCTGATAACACTACACAATTTCCCAATTATTGATCAATCCTATGCTTTAACGTCCGTATTTTTTATTTAGTCAAACTTGAGAACAACATTAAACACTACTCTTTCTGTGTTTCATGACACAATCGATTGTTTTGATCTAAACTAGTATCGTTCTCCTTTTAGTCGAGTGGGTTGTCTGATAAAAAAGTCTTCTTCCTCTGAGAGACCTACTCTTTTTAGCTCCGAATCAGCTTGTCATTGCTCTAACAAAGTAAAAACTGTTGGTGAGTAGAGACATTTTCCAGGCTCTAAGACAAGTTCCGTTCTCTAATAGAGCAGGAGAACATTCCTGTCTATCTACTGCTCTACTCATTGACATGTACCTAGAAACAAATCTACACAAATCATCTCACTCTATTCTACACTCTTATTATTTGGGTTAAAATACGTGCCTATAACGTCCCCATCTCAATGGTTGATGATTGAACTAAGCTGCTAACCCTCTATTTTCCATTTACGAAAAAATATTTGTACTCTTATGTTATACCAACCATACCAGGTTAGATATATTTCGATCGATGTCGAAAGGTCAAAAGCGAAGGAGGAGTAAGACATGATGTCCATTACAGAAGAATCTAAATGAGACAAGCAAGACAATTCAGTTAAACATAGCTCCGAACACTTTCCCTCACCTCTCCGAGTCATTTTTCAGAGGTGACGTTATTTTTATATTAAAAAAGTAATTTTTTATTTAAAATGTCTGGTTACTCTAACCTAACCTAACCTAAAATAAATTAATTATCAATTAAATAAGATGGGGACACCGCCTAGTTGCGTATTTCAACCCAAATATGAGTGAAGGATGAGTGTAGAATGGTGTGAGATGATCTACTAAATTGATAATTATGTTCATCTCAAATAAAATATATTTAACCTAACCTAAGTCGGTGTGGTCGGTACAACAGAAGAGGGTCCAAATATTGTTCCTATCGATCACCCAAATCACAAGGTACAACCTCTTCAACAATTAACAAGATTGATGTCGGAAATCAACCTGTTAAATCGTGTCTCCATCTTGAAACAAGAGACTGCCCTAACAAGTACCACAGTTTCCATGTCACACTCGGCCGGTCACCTTTGTTGACCCGATGAATATTCAGGACCGGGTCAGGAATGTCGGTGACTTCAGAGATGACTCAGGTGGGAAGTAGGTCCGACGGTTCAACCCTCCCACGACTCCTCGTCGGGGACCTCGGCGTCCGGTGACGGGGGTGTGGATAAACATCGGACGATTGACCTTGCCGAAGTTGAATGGCGAACTTCGTGGGTTCTGAAGAGGAGATTGAAAGGAACATGAATCACTCGATTTTTGTTGAACTAATAAATACCCATTGAGCAAGACAACTTTATTGACTAGATTGAACAGTGAAATTGATTGCTATGGCACACTAAGTGCCAGAAAGAGTATCTACACTACTAAGGTTACATTGTCTAAAAGGCTAGGTCCATACAAATACAACTTACGTGTAACATGCCATTGGCATGAAACACTCAAGATAACCGTTTCGAAGCCATAATATAAACTAACTCTTAAAATGATATCCTAATCTCAATTACAGGTCAAATTTATACTTAATAATGTTAAACAACGGAATTATAATAAGAAAAAGTTTGTACAAAATTGGCAGATTTATTCCCTGCTTCGATAATATTCAAATCTTAAAAGTACTTACTTAAGTTTGGTGCTACAGGGGAGGAAATAAAGTCGATGTATATTAAAATGTTGATGGTTTGGCATGAAATTAAAAAAATGGCCAAATTTTACCAAAATTTATCCAAATTACAATAATAGAATAATATGGGGATTTTTAATTTACAGTCTTTGAAACATTATCCGCAACTATTAGACGGACAAAAACGGTTTAGCATACTTAGATAGTTATTTTTTAGCTCTTAAAAACAAATTTTGGCCCATAACCCCCCTCTCCCATAGTCCGATTATGCCGGTTCGAATAAAATGAAGGTTTACTTGTTTGTACACAATTTAATAAAAATATGATGATTTTTACGCGATTTATCGTGTTAACGGCGACACATTATTATTAATTATATATTATAAAATAAGTTTGAACGGATTGTGTTTTGGCCTCTGGAAACATCAAAACGAAAAAGTAAATCATTCTCGGGTCTAGGTCTTACGATGAGACCTACGGTCGCTAAAAATGCTCTTTGTGTTTCTATTTTCAACTCTAGAGAAAATATTAACCAAGCTAAATAGGTTAAAACACAGTTTACATACAACATATCCGTGTTTACAAAAAGAATCCGGCAAAAAAGGTGTGACTTCCGGTATTTTGTCGTACAAATGTCCTAAGTAAACATTCGTCATAGTGTGACACTGACACTGACAATTTACCTATGTCAAGAGAAAGCATCGTATTGTGACTACAAAGTAGGTGAAGGCAGCACCGGAAACTGTCCCGGTATCGTTAATTGTTAGAAGTGACAGTTAACTGTTCATCCCGTTGTATATTTAGTCTCACATTCCCTAAGCATTCGGAATTCGAGCGAAATGTCATTGACACCTGTGGCCTACTTGATTGAATGAAATCGGAAGTTTGAAGAGGAAAGTTTGTCTAAGTGAAATAGCTTAAATGTCATTCAAGTTCAAGTTATTCAGTTGTAGGATAATAACTTTATTTATTAATAATGTTTGTATTGTATGCAAACTAGTTTAAATACATAATATTTGCTTGAGGATTTCGCTTTTGTTAATCAAATTAGTACTTAAACGCAGATATTAGAATAGAAAACGTTATGGATAACAAACATAAACAAATGACGTCACTGACCCGCATCTTATACCATACTATCAATGGAGTTAAAGGTGGCCGTGCTACCAACCTTAACATCTGGTTTAGACGATTTTTTACAGTAAATTCTAAATAATAATAATACAAACATGTCAATCGTTGGGCAATTGACGTTTCTTTATGTTTATGACGCATACATTTTCCGTTCTAATATCCGTAGTACTTACTCA